AAATATAATTATTAAAGCCTTCGATTGAATATAATATTTTTAGATGTAAGTATACACTATATGAATATAATATATGTAATATAATTAATAATAAAACACACACACACGACACACACATAAATTAATAGGACTTATTATAGGAAAGTACTAACAACACACACCAACTAGAAACAAAAATATATATATAATGCAGTATCGAGAACACCTATATAGCTAGGTATATATATTTTAGGTGGTGTGTGTGTGTGGTGTGTGTGATGTGTGACTGAGTTGTGGATGTATAATAAAACAATATATCTCACTATACATACATACATATTAATCACTATTCATCACCATACTCCTAATATATACATTATAATCCATATAACATTAATTACTCACAACAAAACATAATACCTAAGTAGAAATAGTATTATAGTGTATTAAATAGGTTTTCAACACACATAAATAATTAGTAAATCAAAATGGTATAGGGGGAACAGTATACTGTTCCCACCACACGCACCTATCTCAATTTTTTTTATGTTTTTTTCAGGCAACCTATGAACTACCCTACCTTACCATTTATTCATTAAAGGCTGATTACCGTTAAAGCCTGGATTACAAAGAATCGAAAATCTGAATTCCTAAGCGCGTTGCTATGAGACGGTTCTTCACAGACGAAAAAAGAACTGCCCAACATTATCCAACTTCACACGTCATTCATTATCAGAAGAATGTTACAGCCACCGGATTCACATATTGCTTATTTAGGTTCCTTTGATCCTGTTTTTTTTTCTGCATGACTGGCTTTTTAATTAATTAGGTACTTTTTTTTGATCATCGTAATGTCGTCGTTCACCATTTCCAGACAGTGTCAACTGGCACTGCCACTCACATTCCGCTCTGCTCACCTAAAAGTGTACTAATTTTGTATGACGTCTCTTGTACACGTCTTTACGGCAGGATAATTAATATATTGTCTTATTTGCCAGCATTCCCAATCATAAAGAATCGAAGATAATGTGTAAAATAATGATAAACAAGAACGGGAGCTACAGCACCACGCCATATACAAAAAGCGAAACAACATTGACTTTTGGTTTTACATTATCTAAAGAGGAAATTTATGTCTTCTTTCTGGCTATATAGGGGGCATATTAAACATTGTAAGTAGCGAGTGGATAAGTTTACCTATTATATGATGGTTAGTTTAGAGTAAGATACATAGTATTAAACATATTTATTGTGTACCTGAATTGCCAGATAATATAATGATAATGAATATAGTTAGATGATTAAGGTGAGTAGATAGCTCAGATGCCAGTAAAACAAGAACCACAGAAAAGCATATGGAAATAAGTAGTTAAATCGTATCACTCAACATCTGAGTTACGAGTGATATTAACGTATCACTTCGTATACTATAAAGATTAAAAATAAAGTCCACCTAAGGAAAAAGAATTAGACATATTTAATAGAATCGTATAAATGGTGCTAATAAGGTAATATATGTACGATTGTAAAAAAGAGGTGCAGATCAATGATTAAGATTACGGATGCCTGTCAAAGTAGTAACTAATAAATAGTAAAGGTAAGATATAATATATACTATCTCATTGAGCATATTATATTATAATTAAATATATACACACTCTCATACAACTACAATTACCATAACTAACACACACACTACCACTAATTATTAAAGGTAATACGTAACTCAGGAAGCTAAAACCATTTTAATTTTACTTTTTCGCTCCAGCCCAAATCTTCCCAAGATGTTGAGATCGCAAAGAAGAATAAGTTCAATCTTAAGTGCTGCATTACGATTCTTCCTAAAGTGTGCAGTGACGTGGTTTTCGTTTTGATAAATCGACGGGAAAAAGAGAGGAATCAAACCCACACACATTCCCCGCACAAACTATACTATGCTAAACTCCTTCATGCAGAGCTGCCATGTCGCTCCTTCGTGCTTTTTATTGTTTCTTTACTTTTTGATATGCTCGTGTATCTCATCCATCTCCAGGTTAATCATCTTGTTTCGTGCTGTCGTGCCCTTCAGGTATTCAAAGCAAGACCTCAAATCCCTTTTGTAATGATGGAGGTACCGGTCACAAGTAGCATTCCCAAGCACTCCAAGACTCAGACCTACCTCATTCATGCATTATTACATCTTTCAATTTTTAACTTTACCATAATAACAATTTATTACATGTTTTGTCAATTTTAACCTTTACCTATAACATGAACGTCGGCTTACTCACATTAAAGAATTCTTATCACATGATTGTAGTGCAATAAAGTGAAGCTAACGATAGTAGCTTCATGAACAAAATATTCTAAAAATGCTTGTTCCACGAACACTTAAATCACACAGCAGAAAGAACCAACGCTGAATAAACATGGTAAACACTATTAGCAGAGTTATAGGTCCTTCACATAGAAGCATTGATTGCTCTTTTGCAAATATGTGTCAAGAAATACAAGAACAGTGCAAATGTGGGTGTGCTCTTGTTTAGCAAGAAGAAAGAAGAGTTTTTGAATTGCTTGCAAACTCGCGCCATAGTTCAGCCGTGTAAACAGAGATGGCGTTGCGTTCGTAAAATCGAATTTTGATGATTAATTTGCAAACAATTTAAATACGTATTATGCTCAAGATACGAAATTAGAAAGAATTAGCAATGAATGCGATAGATAATGATAATGGGATGATAATGAAAATATCTAAAATAGATGATAATGATCATGATAAGAGTAAAGATAATAAAACTGATAATAAAGTTTATAAAAGAGACAATAACAATAATAACAATCATTATTAGTATTATAATTTTGTATAACTATATTATCATTCTGTTTAAGATACGTAATTAACATAATATACAATATTATCAAATATTAGTTAAAATCAATATCATGATTATTCTCTCCATTATCATCTATCAATTATTGTTATTAAGACTTACACTAATCTAATGTATGGAGTAATACTTAGTAATGATAGGTAATTGTAAAATGAATGATTATTAAGATAAGTAATATATTAAGTAATTAGTAAAATCATATACAGATAAATGCATTAGTCATTATGTGGTTATGTTTTTAGTATTGGTAATGTGGTTTAAGTTGGCTATTATTATATTGTTAGCTTTATTTATATACTATATCTAATAATTAGTATAATGTATACAAATTTAATAATCTCATTTAAACCTTTGTGTTGTAATATGATTTGGTTGTAGTAAATTAAAATAAATAATTAAATTGATTATATTGATTAAATATATAGTACGTATAATTATATTGTAGACTTAATATATGCATAGATAATATAAATTGATAAATATAATATTAATAATAATGATAAGTTAATGGATAATATATACTAATAATATATAGTAATAGTAATAATATTAATTATAATGATAAAATAAAAGACTTTGAATATAATATAATATGTGATCAAGTTATCTAAACTACTATACAGCATTTGTAAATAGTTATACTATGTATTGATATTTTATAAAGTGAATAATTAATACAATTAATAAGTATATCCTATTATTATCATTACCATTGCCATTATATTATATATATTATTGTATAATGATCATTATTATAATTAATTAACTTAATGTGATATTAACCTTATCAGAGTATTTGTTAATTATCCTTATCTTACAATAGTGTTAATTATGTTGATGTATTTACAGGTATCACATCAAACTAGCTTCCTCACATCTTCATATATTCGATTCGAGTTTCGAGCTTAAAGAAAATCAAGTTATTTTTCTATTAATCTAACAATCATAAATAAATAATAAAATCGAAGTAATTGATGAGCTGGATCATCAATCTTATTGACATATGATTGTTTGTAGTATATATAAATAAGATTAAACAATAAATAATATTATAAGAGATATAAGAATATATATATAATAATTATAGATAATTAAGATGTGAATAGAAATAATATGTATAACATAATTATAAGTCTTAAATATTATGAAGTGAAATAAGGCATATAAAGATATAATAATGAAATGAATATATATAGATGAAATTTATATATACATAGACATAAGATATATATTAACTGATAGACAGAATGAATTGTACTAGAATGTATAATAAGACATAAATTAGATGATAAGAAGATAAGTGAGAAGAAGAATTAAGAAGATACAATATAAGCTATAATAATTTATTGTATAACATAGAACATATATAGTTATAATCTACAGGATATAAGGTCAAGTATATGAGGTGTTAGATTAGGATATAATACGTACGATTATATGTACTATTAAATTGTTATACCATATACATAATAAGCTATTAAGATTACATACGTTAAAAATAATAATGTAGTAATATGAAATAATAGATATATCTCGGATCTAAGCTGAGTATAGGATAGAAATAATTAATAAAGTGAACAACTAACATGAGTTAAGTTAATATAATCATACATATAAAATAAGATAAGAATTAAGTGTAGCAGTGTAAATTGAATATTAGTAGATGATTAATGATAAGGGGGAGGATGACGTAATTCATATGTATTCCATAGAACATAAACAAATATATATATTAATGTATGTGTAATTAGGTATAGAGTAGTATGTATTAAATCATATATAATTTATATTAAATAGAATAAGTATATATAGTATATAGTATATAAAAGAAGATGTACATATATTATATATAGTATATAAGATGTAGAAGATTATATTGATAATGTTATCATAATATGTAGTGTATAAGTAACTATCATTAATATAGAGAGTACATATGCAAGATAGATATAAATATATATATATATGAGATAACTAAAAAATGTATGATGAATCATAAGATAATTATATAGTAGATAAGATTAGAGAAGTTATATAAGAGAAAGAAAATATATAACATTATACATAACTATAATATTATATATATATATATATTATATATATATATATAATATTTGATATATACATATATCAATGTAATGCATACTATAATAGTATAACTATATGTACATATAATATACAATATATTATATTATCTTATAGCACACACATAATATATCTATATATATATATATATATATATATATAATTTAACATATATTATATATATATACTATATAATATATATACTATAAATTAGTATTCATTAATTAGATCAATATTATAAATTAACGTATATCTATTAACGTGTATGTATGAGTACTACATTATGAAAACTAATTACATACTTAAACACACACACACACACACACAACACACACACAATACACACATATATATATATATATAAGTATCATATATATAATATATATATATATATTAATAATCACTATTATGTAAATGTAAGCTATTACCTTAACAAACTACATATACTTACACACACACTACACACCATGTACATATAAATACTTATAGATCATACTTATATATTAATAAACATTTTTTTACCATTCTACATTATCATTATATTACATAGTGAGATAATCTAAGATATTATTAATATATATTAAATTAGAATAATTAAAATTTTGTCATACTTAACATATTTATTTATTTATTTATATATATATTTAACTACTTAATATTATTGACAATTAACTTAATAGGACATTATATATATTATTATACTTTAATTAATTATAACTATATATGTATCTAATCTATATGCATATATATACTATTTATATATTACGTTATGTATGTATACACAAATAATATACTTAACACACACACACACACATATTTATATATATCAAGCCACAGAAACACAGAAAACTATAATCACCTACATATACATCTACACATGCAATAAAACAATAAAACACAAGGACGTACCGCTAACACTGACAGAGCGACAGATGCTCAAAGACACATCCAGGCACACCAACACAGTAAATAAAACAACAAAGGGAAGAACAAGAAAACACACAAAAAAGCCATCTCACCATATTGTTTCTCCACACTGTAAGTAGAGATAGTAGAACACAAATGGCTTCGTATTCGTACGTATTCTTAATCTTCCTTTTGTTGCTCGTTGTTCAGTAATTTGGCACAGATGATGATGCCTATGATAATATTTGCACGTTGCAGATGGTCAGATATCCAAGAGACACGATGCTCTGCAGGGAGAGGAACCGGCCCACCCTGGGTCTCGTCGGCGTGAACTGGATGACGGAGCCGATGCCAGGAACGCCGTCTTTCGAGTCGAACACCGCGTTCTGGCTGGCTTCGGAGGCGTCCCCGAGGCGAGCGACCACGGACCGGAACTGGCTGTCCGAGTGCCCGTCGCGGCGGATGTGAACCACGATCTGCGAAACCGTCTTGGATTCGCCCAGGTCCGCCCACCACCACGGGTTGGCCACGCGCGCCGTTATGCTGCAGTATCTGACGGGGCGTGACAGATAGCCGCTGACAGCCTCGCTTGAATAATAATCATAGTAGTTTCCTGATTGGTTGGTGGCCACGGGGAAGATTCGGCGTTGGTTCGTCCAAGAAGTGAAACAGGATCCGAAACGTATAGCGTCGGTCTTGTTGTAGCCGGACCACTGTTCGCTCACCCACCCGCTGTACATGTGGCACGTCGAATCTGTGGAGAGAGATGGAGATTTTGCGAATATTTACATAATATGGAAATCGGTGGCGCAATTACAGCTAATATCCTCTACATGTTGGACAAGGGCGATGCAATCTCACGATGAGGAGTTGCGTGGTTTAGCGAGTTCAGGGGTGTTGGGGGGTGGGGGTGTTATGAGGGAGGTGTAGGGTGAATTTATTGCTGATGTTATTGATTGTAGCACGCAAGGCCTCTGAAATCCCAGCACCAGTTCGCAGGGTTTAGCATTGGAAGTAATAAAAATGAAGAAAATGATGAAAATAAAATGATAATCTTAATCATGACCTCAAAAACTGGATGGTAAGAGTATTAATGTTGTTGATGATGACAAATGCAATGATGATCATAGTGATGTTGGGAAGAATGAGAGTAAGAATACTGCTAATTATGATGATAGTAATAATAGTAATGGTTTTAATGATAATACTGGTACTGGTGAACAATACTAATCATTATGATTGATATTATGATCAAAATTAATGATGAAAATAGTTTAACAATGTTGATTTATGAATATTATATAAGAATAGTAATAATGATTATTATAACAATCATAGCTATAATGAGGATGATAGTAACAGCGATGAATGGTGATAATGATAATAATGATAATAACAATGATAATAATAGTATTAATAGTAATAACGAAAATGATGGTGATGATGATGATGTGTCAATAATAATAATAGCATTATCATCATTATTATCATAATAATTAATGTTAAACAAATAGTAACAATAAAAATAGCCAAAATAAAGATAATGTTGAGGGTAATTATAATGATATTGATACTATTTATGATTATAGAATAGCAAAATAGTGATAAAAAACACAAGCATATGTTCACAAAATAATTAATAACCACAGCAATAATCATA